CTCTCTGGGCCTTTCCCTTTCAGTTCGGCATTCGTGCAAACAAAGCAACCCATTTGGAAAGGATCTCTGGGGCCTTTTTGGATCTCAAGCTGGGCATGAACCAGAAGGGAGATGCGGCTTTTAAAAAGGCTATTGCAAGCCCAGGCTGCGCAGTCAGAAACATGGAGAGCCGAATCAGGATTCTGCTGTACTCTGTTTACGGAGTACCACGTCCTGTTGCAGGTGCCATATTTTAAGAAGGAAGTCGGCAAACTGAACCATGTTGGAGGGTGAGGGATCTGGAAGCCCAGGGGCTGGAGGAGTTTTTAAAATTATTATTACACTCTTGGGAATGTTCAGTACAGGGAAGAGGAAGTTAAGGAAAGACGTGAAGAGCTGTCATGCGGAAAAGGAGCTGAATTTATGTCTTCAGAAGGGCAGGCCTAGAATGAGGGTCATGGGAAGCTGCGAAGCAGATAACAGCTGAACTTCTAAAGAGTTTCAGAGGAACTTTAAGTACTGCTTAAAGTGGGCCAAGAGGTCTCGAGGAGCGGAGGGCTCGCCATCCCTGGAGATCTCTATGCAGAGGCTGCTACAAATCCTAGGCAAAGGGTTGGAATAGATGCCCCCTCCCGGGGGGGCGGGGTCGAGAAGGCAGACAACCCAAAGGGCTTCACCGAGAAGGGACCACCACCAAAGAGCCTCTGACTAGGAATCTACCTCTCCCACTTTCCCTAATCGCTTTGCCTGCTTAGTTCCTTCCCAAGGACGGGATCAGTCTTTCCCACATTTTATAGCAGATCATGAGCTTTATTATTATTATTATTATTATTATTATTATTATTATTATTATTATTATTATAACATTTCTATGCCTTCCCTTGCCGAAGCCTCGGGGCGGCTTACAACACAATATAATACATTGAAATACAATAGAACATAATAAATTACCATTAAATACAAAAATACAAAAAATACATTGAGTTACAAACATAATAATATAAAATTAAAATTATCAGTATAAAATAAGTAAATAAATAATATAGGGGGAGAAAAGAGAAGGAAGAAGAAGTTGCCCTGGCCAGATCATATATTTTAACAATTAAAATGATGTTTAAATAAAAAGGTCTTTACCTGGCGCTGAAAAACCAGTAATGACGGTGCCAGGCAGACCTCTTTGGGGAGTGAATTCCATAGGTTGGGCACCACCGCAGAGAAAGCCCTCCTTTATTGCAAACAGAAAAATGAAAAAACCGACAGATAAATGTAACTGCCTGATACTCTGTATTCTGACCTATTGATAATGCTTTTGCACTCCAACTCTTCTGGGGGACACCGGGGAAAATTTCCTTCTAGCACTATATGGAAGAGTTGGACTCCACACCTCTCCCAGTGCTATTTTAGAAGTGCTTTTCTATTGGGCGGGGGGGGGGGGATCTTCTTTAACATGGGAAAGGATTTTTTCTAAACCGCTTTAATTAAATAAGTCTTTAAATCTCCCGCAGAATATCCTAGATTCTTTGGGAGTGGTGCTGATTTTGTTTTGGTGTTGCTTACATATTTTATTTTTAGAATTCTGTCTAAACCAGGAAGCTACTTAAATAAAGGCAAAAGAACTCTACAGAGCAAAACCCACAAAGTTAAAAGGATTGAATGCTTTCCTGTTGAGGGAAGCTGGGAGCTAAATATGGAGTTTTGAATGAGGCTTCAGTGGAACTTGTACAGCCTTAGGAGGGAGTTAGGACCTGGTGGGTTTGAATATTTCAATATCACTTTCTTTACAGAAATGTGAGAAAAGTAGGAACCATATGGTCTTCCCTTCACCCTTAAGAAAGGAGGTCTTTGATGTGCTGAATTTTAGAAATGAGTTCAGATTTGCTTCTCTTTCAACAGGCAGGAAGCTCACTCAGTGATAAATACTGTCTTTCATTTTCAGTTTGTATAAAAACCAGGGGTACAGTCATAGAACATGGCTGGCCACAAGGTGTAGCTGAGAAGTTTCTAAGAAGGGGATTTTTGAGTTCTCGGAAGCATTTTTACTCCAAAAGAGCTTCAAAACTTCAGTACCTATTTTGTGTTCAAATTTTCACTGCCTTCTAGCCTATTCTGATTTTCTCTTTCACTTTCTGTGATGCAGACCAAATCTGGACAGTGTTAAAAGGGGACTGGACAGATTCACGGAGGAGGAGGCTGTCCGTGGCTACTAGCCTTGCTGGCCATGGGCTATCTCCTTCCCCAGAGGTGGGATGCCTGTTTACACCTGTTGCTGAGGGGCTTGGGGGGCGTGTCTTGCACCCTTCCTGCTGGAGGGATCCCATGTACAGCTGGGCTCAATGAACTTTGGTCCAATCCAGTGTGGCTTTTCTTATATTCCTGTTTTGCTCTTTTGCAAAGAATGAAGGAGCACTCCAGGCCCTTTGAAGCAGGGAGAGTTGGACCCCTTTTGATTATGGGGTCAAAATCATTTTCAGAGAAGCTCTTGAGGGAAACTGGACATTCGGGGTGGGGGTGTGTCGAATGCAAAATCAGGAGGGGCGAAAATACCCGCCAGTTCTATCTTAAACTTCATGTTGCTAGTAGCAAAACCTCAGGTAAGAAACTTCAACCTTGTGGGATGGTGGAAAACCGCTCAAAAGCTGGTTCGGTGAGTGGGGAAAGGGGGCACAGCTTGGGGAGGAAGCGAGGTGGCTCACCCAGAATGCCAGATTTGGCATCCTGGATGGCACAATTTTGGTTTTGGGTCTTATCCTCAACACCTTCAGAAGCCATTTTTTAGCAGGTTTGTTGTGGTCTTGGTGAGAATCGGTGTGCTCGCATATCTAATCTACGAGAGTGCTGCCTCCTTGGCAGTTTAAGATTTAGTCTTGTTTACCTATGTTTGGCTAACAACAGCAGCTTTTCCCTAGTGCATGCCGTCTGAAAAACAGGTAGTTTTTTTTAGTGGCTTATCTTCTAAATACAGGAGAAAAATGTACTCAAGCCTTCGGTTCCTCTAAAAATATTTTCTGCCTCTGCACACATGCCCCACGCATAACTTTATTAAGGATTATTTTACTCCCCTGAAAGGAGCACAGAATGACTGATAACGCTGATTAAACAAGTACAACTTGTAAAACCATGCAGACGCACTAAGACCATTAAAATTCAGCTATAATAATCTAACCTAAAATGCCAAAGCCCAGCCAGTTGGAAGCCAATTTCTTGTGTAAATAAAAAGGTTATTCCACTTACATGAAAGAATTAGCCTCTGTGGGAAGTAAAATGCAGCGCTGTGTCACTAAAGTGCAGGGAAGGAGTTCCACAAAGCAGGGGTGGGGGGGTGGGGGGGTCACAACAGAAAAAGGCCTCCCCATGGCACTCCTTCCTTCATATATATTTCCAGTTCTTGTTTTATTCTTGCAACAGTAGTAGTCATGGTCTTGATTTATGTCTTGAGCAGCTTTCAACGGGGATTGAACAAATTCACAGAGGAACCCTGGTTACTGGTCCTCATGGTTGTGTGATATCAGATGCCTCTGTATACCAGTTGCTGTGGAACATGGGTAGGAGGGTGCTGCTTTACTTCCATCTTGCTTATGGGTTTCCCACAGGAAGCTGCCTGGCCATTGTGCACACAGAACGCTGGACTGAACGGACCGGGCACCTCGTCCTGCTTTGCTCCTCTGTTGCTCTTAACCTAAAGTAGAATTCTGTCCATGGAAGGATTGCCACTGAAATTAGAATGAATGTGCTTGATGTCCTTTTTGTTTGCACTCAGAGGAACCCTTTCTTTTTAAGTGGTGTGGAGGAATTCCAAAATTGCTCAGGGGTGAAAGAGATCACACTCTGTGCATTCCCAGAGGTACCCTTTTTTCTTTTGCACAGGAGGCTGTAAAGGATGGGAAAATACCAGGGCTGTGCAGTCGGTACATAAAAACTTCAACCCCCTCAATTTATGGTACCGTTGACTTTGACTCCTCAGTTTATGGTATCTTTGACTTCAACTACTTTACTTATATTTCAGTATAGGAAAGAAAGATACTAATTAAATAATACTAATTATTATAATAATTGCCACTTATTTATTTCCTATAATGATCGACAACACTCAACCTACAAGGCATTTCATCACTGCCAACAAGAACCATCCAGCTTCTTTTTTAAACTCTAACCTGCTAAAGTATATTCTGAAAATATAACCAGAAAAAAAACAGGTTACTCAAATTATCTGTGAAACAGGGAATTTTAACATTTATATTACAATTTAAATTTGTTAGAATTTGGGGTCTTTACATTTTTACAGATTCTGACTCCAGTAACCCAAGAATTATTTCCAGCTCTATGGCTCCAACTCCACAGCCCTGGGAAATAAAAGTGTAGCGTTGGATGAAGGAAAGCTGGGGGGTGGTAAGGCCAACATGATTTCGTTGGCTTCCTTCTTCCTTTTTTCTTTCTTTGCTTTCTCCTTCCTTTCTCTGTTTCCTCCTTGAGACAGCAACTAGCTGTCTGTTACGAAAAAACAAGAACAAAACAGTGCGAGAAGGCATGAATTTTGACAGCAACAGCCAGAAGGATTTGCATGCTAACTCTGCGCTAAGTCAGACCATTCCTCCTTGCAGCCCCGTGTGAATTGCATCTCCCCAGGTGGAAGAAGATTCCTTCCACCGCTTTCTCTCAGACTTTTACTCACCAGAGGCCTTCTCCAGGCAAAGCAGGTGTGGCACCTCCTTCTCTCAGCCTGTCCCACCTAGTTCCCATATGAAAAATCTATTGAAATGCTATTTTAACTCGGTTTGCAAATAACCTGGTTTTTTGTGGGCCTCCTGCCATACGCAGACTGTTCAAAAACTAAAAAAGGGTGTGTGTGTGTGTAGCTGTTTTGTCCTCCTTTTGGGCTGCTCTGTTGGGTGCAAAATTTGACAAACTGGCTTGCAAGACGAAGTGTTGAGGATGAACATGTGTTGTGATCTCTCTTACGAAGATCTTAACATGAGAAATTTCAATCCTTTGTTCATGGCTCAATTCTCTTTCTCTGTTTTCAGGGAAGAACCTTTATACGAACGAATATGTAGCAATCAAGTTGGTAAGCCGACTTCTAGTATTCTTGTCTTGTCTTTTAAAACTGCCCCTTTCTCCTCTTTCTTTCTTTCCTATTCCATCTCTGAGCCATCTTCTAGTAGGGATGCATTTAAAACTAGCACTAAGCACATGCCACTGATTTCATCTGTCCTAAGTCCTCTGAGGAGGTGAATAGTATCACTTATTATTTGTATTTTATTTTATTTTTTATAAATTAAAAAACACAAGGGAAAAATTGAACGAGAAAAAAGTTTCCAAGGGACCTCGTATGGAAAATTGCATATAAAACTAGATGCAGAGAGTTTTCCAAAGAATCAGCCATAGACATTACTTATAACTACAATTGTACATGATAATCCATAATTACAAATAATGCTTCTTAAATACTTAAGTAGCCAAATAAAACTAATAATTTCACATGAAAAAATGCTTTAACATAGACTACAGCAAGCTATCGTCTCTTCCACAGCATAGCCATAAACCCAATTACAATTTAAAAATATTATTTCCCCCTTTCCCCCCCTTTCTTTCTCATGAACAGTATCATTTTTGTCCTGTAAAATTGCTGGATTCACCCAAAATGTGAGGTGTGTGTGTGCACAGACACCTCGTCTGCCTTTTCCTGTTTGCATGCTGACTCGATGTGGGCTGCAACACTTCTCCAGCTCATGGAAAATTCCCGCTTTTCCCTCACTGGCCCTCATTCCCTGAGACAAGGGGCATTCCAGCCCTCCTGGAGACGGCAAGGCTGAGCCTCAAAACTTTCTATATGCGCTGCGTGTGATGGACCCACCGAGCAGAGATTCCACGCCTCATTTACTGTACTTAGGAGCTTTCACAGACCAACACCTGGCTTGAAAACTCCCACAAAAGTCTGTGCCTCCATAAATAAAGATTGTGATCTTGTGTCTATTTAGACAGAATAAAAATCCTGTATCTCCCAGCTGGTGCAGAAATGTAAGACATTTTTTCCTGTCCGGACTGGTTTAGAATTGCGCTCTTAGTCGTCTAAGCTCCTTTCTATTCTTCCTACAATGGACTAATGCAATGAACTCCTCTGGAATTTGGTGGAGTACTTTTCTCTGTAATCCTGAAAGGAAATAGAATTGTATTCATTTCTTTCTGGTTTTTGTCCATACCTTGTTTAATTCAACACGGTAGTGGCCTTTCTCTAACAATTCATCTCTTCATGCTTTTAAATGTGGGTTTTGAATTGATCCCTGGCAGTAATTTTGCCTTTTACTTAAAATGTTCGAGGCAAGGAATGTCTGTTCCTTGTAAATGGCCCAAAGAACTTTGCCTGTTAGATGGTATAGAAATAATAAAGGCGTGTGCAGATTTAGAAATGCTTACTATGGATTGTTTGAATTGGACAAAAGGTAAGGCCAGCCAATTAATTTCTCATCCAAATCCTGCCCAAAATCGTCCTAGATCAAAGGATGGTTTTGAGCCTAACCTCCTTGTAGTAAGGGGCAGTCAGTGGTATTGAAAGTAGGAAGGGGAATGACCCCTTACAATAGGTCCCGGGCCCTGGGAAATAGATTTAGGGATTTAGAGATTGGCAGCATGGGCCCAGACATAGAAAGACACCTGTTCTCCACTTTTTACTGTCCATTCAGGCAATTCTTTGCATGTTTACTTGATGTAGGCCTGATTGCATTGATTGAGTCTTGGCCCTGGCAAGTGCAGAGAAGGTTAAAGTCTCCATTTCTTTGCCTCTGTTACTCCTGGGTCAAACTAATAGAGGCATGTAAATGGAGACTATGACTTTCCCATCCCTGTTTTCTTTTAAACTCTGGTCCCATTAGCCTTGACAGCAAGTATTGTGACACCTTCAATTTTTTATTGTCTCTCCCCCAGGAACCTATCAAATCCAGAGCTCCTCAACTCCACCTGGAGTATCGGTTCTACAAACAGCTTGGCAATGCAGGTGAGTAGCAACGGCAGCCTCACAGAGAACATTCAGTGGATTATTTGATGGGGACTTCAGAAGGAAGCATTTTTAAGCCTGCTAGTCCTCATGATGGCAGAGGAATGGCTTGAAATAACAGAATCACTGGAAACTAAAGACTGGAGGTGTTTTAAGAGTGTAACTGAAGTGATTCCCAATCAAAATGTGTTGGTTGGAGTAAAATACCTTTCTCTGTGCTTAGAGGTTGGCTCTTTTCATTATATTGGTTGACTCCCTGCTTTTTTCCTTCCTGGCCTCCTAGGTACACCAAATTCACTTCCCCTCAGTCTCAGTTTTCCTCATCTGTTACATGAGGCTAATCTCAACCCTCTTTCCTGGGTTGTTTGGTGGAGAGCCATGCTCAGAATATGTATTAATTGTATTAATTATATGTATGTATGTAATATATATGCAAATATGTATTAATAAACCTGGGAAGCATGGAAAATAGGGTCATTACCAGTCTTTCCTCTGTGCCACTCATGCTACTTACTGGATTTACAAAGATTTTTGCATTTTTCCAGGGTTTTACTATCTGAAGATGTGTGTTTAAAAGGAAAAGACCAATCTTTTACTGGCTGTTTTTCTCATGTTTGGTGTGTGTATTGGTTTTGCTGCCACTTTATTGTGTTCTACTCCATTTTTAGCCTGATAACTGTCCGTGGTTTTTCTCATTCCTTATAAAATAATTTACAACTCCGTAATTCTCTTATCACAAAAAGATGATGCTGTAAAGGCACTGCAGTGCCCCAGTAATTCTGTATTGATGGATGATGGTAGATAAACCAGTAGCTTGGGCTGTAATCCAATAACTTGGGCTGTAATCTTATTCATGTTTAAACAGGAAGAGTTCTACAACTCTCATCATTCCCTAGCCAGCATGATTCCCTTTGCCACCCTGGGGTTGAAAGGACTACAAGAAAATTCACCACAAACAGACATACGAATTTTCAGCCAGCCGTGCCTGCCATGAAGTTACTCTGTCGCTTCCTTCCTTGTTGGTTTTCCTGGTTCCTCCCTTCACCTTGCGTTGTGTTCTGATTCAGATTTGTGTTTTTGAAGCTGCCTTTTCATTTTGGCTTCCGGGCCTTGAGAGCTGTTTTTGGCTGGCTATGAATAAGGCACAAAGGGTGAGCCGGTGTTCTGGGGCTGTAGAATGCAACCCACCCTTGTTGGGCTGCTCCGGGGTCCCACACCTGCTTTTGCAGGGTTGGTTCCTCCACGCACGGAGCTGCTGCTGCTATCCCTTCCACGTGTGTGCAGGTGGCTCAGCCTCGGATCAGCCTGGGGGGGTGAGCTTGCTGACAGTACATGCTTCCCAAGGCCTCTGAGCCCTGCACTGCATGGCATGCAGGGGGAAATTCTTGCCGTTTTCTCCAGCCGCAGTGCAGGGCGAGCGTCTTCCTCTGGGAGGGGAACCTGCGGGGGCTCCTCAGGACAGACTAGGAGCTTGCCAAGCCCAGATTCTACAGCCCTTGTCTCCTGAACAATATAGTGTCATATACCCAGTGCTTTCCACTGGGGAAAGGGCCCTGCCCCAGGGGGCTTACAATCACAGAAACTCTGGATAGCATCAGACTGACTTCCTCCTTCTGTCGTTCCCTGCCTCCCCTCTCTCCACCCCTTCCAGAAGGGATCCCTCAGGTCTACTACTTTGGTCCATGTGGGAAGTACAACGCCATGGTCTTGGAGCTCCTGGGCCCCAGCCTGGAAGACCTCTTCGACCTGTGCGACCGGACATTCTCCCTCAAGACGGTCCTCATGATCGCCATCCAGCTGGTGAGCCGCTTCTCTTGGAGACCCCGCTTTCCCTGTGACAAACCAGAGTCACCCCCCCACCCCCCCTGCCCACTCTCTCCACCTCAAGACCTTCCCCCACATAGCACTCTTCCCATGTGTTGGAGAACAGCTCCCATCACCCCCCGGATTATGGGACGTGTAGTTTTTGTATGCCATCCCATTCGCATAAGCCTCGGGACGGCTTCCAACACAATAAATAAGCAAGCATATAAATAATACATATAAAATCCGGATTCACCCTGGCTGCAAAAATTAAAACCAATAAATAACAGCTATTAAAATATTGTTTAAATTAAAAGTCTTGGCCTGGCGCCAAAAAACAAATAACGACGGCGCCAGGCGGACCTCTCTGGGGAGCGCATTCCATAAGTGGGGCACCACTGCAGAGAAAGCCCTCCTCTGGGTACTCACTCTCCTGTTATCTTTCACGGAGGGTTCCTAGAGGAGGGCCTCTGCTGCCGATCTCAAGGGGCAGGAGGGCAAATATGGCTGCAGGCGTTCCTTTAGATATCCAGGTCCCAAGCCCTTAAGGGCTTTGTAGGTGATAACCAGCACCTTGAATTGGGCCCGGACTTCGATGGGGAGCCAATGAAGCTGGTAGAGGACTGGGGTTATGTGAGAATAACACCCAGTCCCTGTCAGCAACCTGGCTGCTCTATTTTGCACCATCTGAACTCTCCAGACTGTCTTCAAGGGCAGCCCCATGTAGAGCACGTTACAGAAATCCAGTCAGGAAGTTACCAGTGCATGTGTCACTGTCGCCAGGGAATCGTTCTCCAGGTAGGGACGCAGCTGGTGGATCAACCAAAGCTGAAGGAAAGCGCTCCTCGCCACCGCAATCACTCGAACTTCCACAGACAGCTCCGGGTCGAGGAGCACTCCCAAGCTGTGGACCTTGTCCCTAAGAGGGAGTGCAACCCCATTCAGGACAAAGTCCAAGTCACCTACCCCGGAGTCTGAACCACCCACCAACAGGACCTCTGTCTTGTCTGGATTGAGCTTCAGTTTATTGGCCCTCATCCAGCCCATCACCTCGGCCAGGCACCGGTCCAGCACAGCCACTGCCTCACCTGGATTGGTGGAAAACGAGAGGTAGAGCTGGGTATCATCAGGGTACTGATGACTCCGCAGCCCACACCTGATGACCTCTCCCAGCGGTTTCATGTAGATGTTGAAGAGCAAGGGGGACAAAATGGACCCCTGCGGATCTCCATGGCAGAGCTGCCATGGCGCAGAGCCACATTCCCCCAGCACCACCTTCTGGAATCGACCGTTGAGATAGGAGCGGAACCACTGCAAAGCAGTGCCTCTGACCCCCAGTCCCGCTGGCCTATCCAGAAGGATACCATGGTCGATGGTATCGAAAGCCGCTGAGAGGTCCAGGAGGACCAACAGGGATGCACTCCCCCTGTCCTTCTCCCTGCACAGGTCATCGTACAGGGCGACCAAGGCAGATTCAGTGCCATACCCGAGTCTGAAGGCGGACTGAAATGGGTCCGGATAATCAGTCTCATCCAAGAGTGCTTGGAGTTGTCCCACCACCACCTGCTGTAACACCTTGCCCAGAAATGGGATGTTGGCCACTGGTCTATAATTGGCGGCCATCTCTGGATCCAGGGATGCCTTCTTTAGAACTGGCTGGATTCCTGCCTCCTTTAGAGGGGCAGGCACCTGGCCGTCCCACAGAGAGGCATTAATGACCTCCAGGATCCAGGCGCCAATCCCTTGCTTGGCTTTGGTCAGTAGCCATGATGGGCACGGGTCCAGTAAACAGGTGGTGGGACGTATTTGCCCAAGCACCTTGTCCACATCATCAGGCCGCAATAACTGAAACTCATCCAACAATGTCTGACCAGACGGAGTCATTGGCACCTCCCCTAAGGGCTCTGAATCACTAGTGGAGTCCAGCTTGTGACGAATCTGAGTGATTTTCACCTTAAGGTGCAGGGCAAAGTTGTCACAGCAGGCCATTGAGGGGGGTACGGGATCTTTCTTAGGGCCTGGATGTACCAGCCCCTGTACCACCCAAAAAAAGCTCCGCCGGACGGCATTGTGAGGAGGCAATGGAAGCGGAGAAGAATTTCTTCTTCGCCGCCCTCACCGCCACAGCAGTCTCAATAATGAGATCTCAAGTGTGTTCGGTCAGACTCATCCCGTGATTTCCTCCAGCTACGCTCTAGCCATATCCCAACCCACTTCATCGCCCGTAATTCAGGTGTATTCCAGGGGGATGAACGGGCTCTGCTAGGAGGGAGAGGACGCTTAGGAGGTGACGGATTAAAAATCTCATTTTTCCAATGCATCGCCAGTCTCTGTGTTGAAAGAAGAGGTTTCCTTCTTTGCAAGGGGTTCAAGGTCTGCATTTTCCCCTGCTGCCCCTGGCAGAAGCGGCACTTTCCCCTCTGAGAACAGAATGGAAACACACCATGACCTGTCTAGTGTGATTAAACCAGTCATGGCTTGTTTCGCACAGTGACTGGGTCTGCATGATCCGGGAAGGAAAAGAGCCACGGGCCTCTTTCACACGCCCTGTGCACTGGTCGCCGAGCTGCCTGAGCCCAACCAAGTGGGCAGTGGGCGTGGCTTGGAAACAAACCACAGTGGCTTCCCTTCAAACCCAGCCACGGTTCATTCTGGCCTGCTTCTCTCTCCACAACCCAGAGTTCTGGGCTTGCACATGGCAGTGGAGAACCCAGGGGCTGGGCACCCCTGACTTGTTTGGCACACGGAATTGAGCAAGCTGGCAAGAACCTGCAGGTTCACTCCTGCATGCGTCTAGTGGTTAAGACATGATTGTTTGTTTGTGCAAAGTGGGGCACTTTGCACAAGACGGTCATGAGGACAGGCTAGTGCAGTGACGGCGAGCCTTTCAGAGACCGAGAGCCCAAACTGCAACCCAAAACCCACTGATTCATCGCAAAGCGCCACCACTGCAATAAAACCGGAATATTGAGGTTTTAGTTTAGAAAAAACAACTCACAGCCAGTCCAAGCATATATATATATATGCATGTATATATATATATGCATGTGTATATATGTATGTATGTGTGTGTGTGTGTGTGTGTGTGTGTGTGTGTATATATATACACACACACACACACACACATACATACATACATGCGCACGCACACACACATATATACATATACATACATATATATATATATATATATATATATATCCTTGGCAGCATACTGACTGGCCATACGAAAGCTCGGACGAGTTGTGACTAATTAGTTGTGGCTCGTGACATCATCGCCTGGCGCCACTACTCCTTTCCAAGCATGCGCGTGGCCCCTAGGCACACTGTTATCCGATGCTTGGCTGCTGGAGCGACTTGGCTGGCGTGCTGACAGAGAGGGCTCTGCGTGCCGCTGCGGCACACGTGCCATCGGTTCACCGCCACTGGGCTAGTGAAACAGTAATTCAGGTAATCATTTTGTGAGCTTAAATACCAGAACCCAGCTTTTCTGGTGACCCATTTCCAAGCGCTACTTTAAAAAATCTTCTCTTCAAGCACGCACACGAACCAGATGTCTCTCCCTGCTTTTCCTCCCCCAGATCACACGGATGGAGTACGTGCACACCAAAAGCCTGATCTACAGAGACGTGAAACCCGAGAATTTCCTGGTGGGGCGGCCCGGAAGCAAACACCAGCACACAATCCACATCATCGACTTCGGCCTGGCCAAAGAGTACATTGACCCGGAGACCAAAAAACACATCCCATACCGAGAGCACAAAAGCTTGACAGGGACAGCACGGTACATGAGCATCAACACTCACCTGGGCAAAGGTGAGTCAGAGGCGCTGGCCAAAATGCTGCTTTGTGAGGAGGTCTCAAAGTGTGTCTCAGGGAAAGGGGGGATGGGCGTTTTTTGAGTGCCTGTTTTGACCCAGGCACGATAACCTCTGAAAGATTCCTCGATTCTCTTGTGGCAGGCAGAAGCCTTTTCATGTTAAATGTCTTCTCATAGATAGATTCTTTTTATTGAATATTTTATTAATTTCCAGTCTAAAATGCAACAAAATAACACCACATTTAAAAAGCAAACCTAAAATTTGATGTACAATAAAAAATACTGTGCTTTCCACTTCCTGAAGCAAAAATACGTGTCACAATGTAAAAAAACCCTTTAAAGAATTTGGAGACAGATCCTAAAGCAGCTCTCTCGGGCCAATTTTGCTCCTTTCTGAGCAAAAGCCGTTGATTCATGTACGGTGCTTATAAATGGATATCCTTCTGGGATTCTCTCCTTTTGATGTGTCAGTCTCTGGGCAGATGGTGCGTCTCTTCTCCGAAGTAAAATCAGCCATGTGCCAGGGGACTGGCTTCTGGATAAATAGCTTTCAGTGGGGAACTGTTTTCCCCCAGGGCCGCGTGTTCATAGTGTCTTTGTAGTGGGCGAAGCCGGAACTGGTTGCACTCAGCCCTGTCTCTCCGTCCTTCCCTCGCATTCTGCTGTAAAGCCCACCTGTATGGCCACCTGAACATGCTGAGTTGATGTGCCAATCCTTGGGGATCATATTCCAGAGTTCAGGAGCAGCACGAAAGGAAGTACTTTCACTTGCACCCCCCAAAGAGGCCGTAATAAGCCAAAAGGGCTTCTGCCGATTTGGGAACTCCAACAGACCATGACTGTCTGTTGTTTACCAGAATTCCATATGCCAGAGACAGGCACTGGGAAAGGCTGTTGGCACCATGTCCAGCTTGTGGGGTTCCTGTGAGAAGCAGAACCCTTCCTTGGAAGGACTCTTGCGGTCCAGCTTGGCAGCTAGTTCCCATACGGCCTGATGTGCTTTAGTGGGCTTCCAAAGTGAGCCGGTTTCTGTGAGCGAGCAGAGCACAAGCACGGCAAAAGCGGTTTTATCCGGCAGCAAGCATCGCCCTGAGGAGGTGAGCAATTGTATCTGTGTGGGTCAGGCCAGTTCATGGATCTCACTCACCTGAAATGTGTTTTTCTAAGTATGTTTAAATGGCTCCCTGGCCTGCTTTCGGAGCCAGACGAGGCCCCCGAGGCGGCTTTACAGATAAAACAATAAAAACCAACTCATAAAAAGAGCAGAAGTTGTAATAAACTTAGAATGCTGCATAGAGGTTGGCTGTAAAGGATGTTGAAACAGAAAGCTGGCTGCTCAGCCCAGATGTCCAGAGCAACGTGAAGAAGGGCTTTGCACAGCTTTTTCCGTACAAAAAGCGAACTGCTTGTGTTCCCTTTTGCCTTATCTCCTCCTGGCAAGGTTTTCTGGCTTGTGTGGAGAGGGCCGAATCAGATGCCTCTTGGGCTTTCCCAGAGCCACCTCTCCGAGCCTGGAAGAGCGTGTCTGTCTTGAATTTGTGTCTGCTGCAAAGCATAGGAGTAAGACGCAAACAGGAGACTGCCAGCACTCAGATTTTATTGACTCCCTTCAGTAGCATTTCCTCTGTTTTTCATGGGGTTGTTCTCAGCGATCAAAAAACTAAAGCAGGACAGCAAAACCTTTAAAGTGCACTGTCATGACTTCTCCATCAAGCTATTTCTGAATTCGACGCAACAAAAAAACCAGAGCAAAAAGCCAGTGCATAATTATCTCTATTTGTTAGGGATAGGAATGCTAAAAGAAAGAATGTTGTTATATTTGTTGTGCTTGTTTATTTTCCCCCCAAGGTATTCATGTTTTGCTTGAAAGGATTGTTTCTAAAACAAGCCTTTGCAGTAGTTCATTGCTTAATGGTAGCAGGCGCTGAAATGACCCGGTTTTTAAGAACAGCATGTCAATGCAAGGTTGTCGTATTTTTCGGTCTCCTATGTAGAACAAAGCCGCAGAGATGATCTGGAAGCCTTAGGTCATATGTTCATGTATTTTCTCCGAGGAAGTCTGCCCTGGCAAGGTCTCAAGGTGAGTTCTGTCTTGGTGCAAACCATCCTGATTTCAGCAAATGAACATGCACAGAGCTAGAGAGAGTGATAGGCTGATATAGTCTACTTTTGTTGAAAGCTGGGAGTGGCTGCAGAAAACCTCCGTTTCTAGAAATCCTACTCAGTTCTAACTTCTGGGATCCTGCTAGTCATACCTTGTGCTCTTCCAAGTCTCACCCTCTTGAGGGCTAGAAACTTAAGTTTCATTTTAAAAAGAGAAGAGCTGGCACCTTCTGCACTCTGCAGCTCCTCAGGATTTTCTCCATGTGGAATGGTTGTGAAGCATGCACAAGCCCTGCTCTCCATCTCATGTGTTGGCATTCACACACATTGGCTGCCCAGGCATTCAACTGTCTGAACACTCCTCCCAAAACACACACACACACGAATATCCCAAGGCTGCAAGGCATATTCACCAAGAGCAGAGAATCTCCAGGGCTGCTGCTTCACCCAACCAGTGAAATGTTGATGAACATTCCGTGGGTCGCAGCGGCTCAGCCAGCATCTGGGAAGATTCAGAGTCTTAGAGGCAGGCTGATTTTTGGCTCCCGCTCCATCACCCGTTCCCTTAGATTGACCTGTGTCTTTTCTCTCCGGGTGCCACTGATCTTCTCTCCAGGCGGACACACTGAAGGAGCGGTATCAGAAAATCGGGGACACCAAAAGAGCCACGCCAGTTGAAGTGCTATGTGAAAACTTTCCTGGTAAGGATTGCCCAGGGTGCCGTGGCAGTCCGTGGCTCAGAGGCCTTGAAGAGAGGAGCTTGTTGGACAGATTCACAAAGAAGGACCGAATCTTTATCACATGGCTGTTAGCCATGTTGAGGGGGTTTTACAGTACGATGTTACTGTGTGGGAGGCCGGCCAGGCCCTCTGCGGCAGTACTCCATTCCATTCTCTCCTACCTCAGCTTTCCGTTTTTTATCCTCTTTCTACAAGTCATGCAGCTCTCCTTGGCAACTGCCCCATGCTTACTGGCTCTTCTCTCATGCTCTCTCAGTGGCCAGGGGAGAGCAGAAGGCCGATAAGCCAGGTTGGAAGACATGGGGCTGGCCCCTGTTGGCGACAGGGTGGGCCTGTTCAGGTCTGATCCAGCAGGGCTCTTGTTCTGTGCCAAAGGATGCCTTTCCCCAGTCTTCTGACTCCATGGTGGGACTCGCTTGGCCACGAAAACAAATGCTCTCATTCCACTCAGCCATCCCGGCTGTCAGAACTCAGGTGCATCCATCAAAATGATTTCATGGATTCTTAAGCCACCCGTGGCTATGTTGGGGATGATGGGGATTGTAACTGACAGCAGCAGGTTGGGTGAGGCCCCATGAACTGGCTAAAGAGCAACAGTTCACTGAGGCTGTAGTCATAGTTGGATTGGGATACTGAGAAGGGAAGGTGATGGGTAAAATGGCAGCGGGCCCTGGCAGGATATCCTCAAAAGCACAGCCTTCTGATTTCAGTGAGATTTGCTCTCCCGATATATTTGCGAGATACAGATTCATACGCCAAGAAACCCTGGTTTCGTGGGGCCTGTTGACAGGTGTCAAAATCTGTGAAGAAACAGAAAAGTGAGAATTCCCCTTTTTTGCATAACTTTACTTCTGAACTTAGAAGAGCCAGAATTTGAAAGAGGGCCTCTGAAAACTCTACCTCACAGCCCCTGGAAAGCTTTCTGGCATTGTAGTCAGAGGCATTCTCAAATTTTGCAGGCATGAGTAAAAACTAAAAAAAGTAAACTTTCCTGGAAGTTAAAGTCTGAGGAAGCACACACTGGCAGCCATCTCGGCGTAACTGTGGCGTAAACACAGGCCAGGTCTGTTGAAAGAGCAGAAAAACCCTGCAGCATCTTATCCCCCCGCAAGCTACTATTCTCACAGTCCCTGGCAAATTGCAGATTCTCGGTTGTCCTTCCCGTCTGCTGTGTCCAAACACTGGAAGGGAGGTTAGTTGGAAACAGGGGGGCCCTGTCCTGTCTCCTTTTTGCAGCACAAAGACACACTCTGCCTGCCCCGTGTCTGCCCCTTAGACGGACGGCATCTGGTGCCTTCGCAGCTAGTATCCCTTCGTGCTGTCCTCTTCCCCTTCTTGTATCTCCACCTCGAATCGCAGCAGGGAGTCCTTTAAGCTAACTGCACAGGGTCACACGAATGAAAATACTGTTCTCCCTGGGAACTCTGCTGGACCGGTCCACCAGAATTCATTGCAGAATTTAGGGGAGTGTCTACCCCTCTGTCTCCACCTCTCTCTTTCTGCTGACTTCCCTGGGGCCTGCCACCCCCTTCTCGATGCACTGCTCCAGGTGATCGTTTTCAGACCGGCAGGTGTTGACCCTTGGGTGCTGCCTTTACCTTTGCAGAGGAGATGGCCACGTACGTCCGCTACGTACGCCGTCTGGATTTCTTTGAGAAGCCGGACTATGACTACCTGCGGAAGCTCTTCACTGACCTGTTTGACCGGAACGGCTATGTCTTTGATTACGAATACGACTGGGCCGGGAAGCCCTTAGTAAGTAGGCATGCTGTGTGCCCAGGTTCCGTCTTCCGGGCACACAACCTCCTTCAAGGAGGTTGTTGTGAGGATAAAGCAGAGAAGAGGAGAAGCTTGTAAGCAGCTTTAAGTTCCTTGCAGGTGGACGAAAGGCAGCTATCATTTAAGGAGGAGGCTGGGATTACGCACCTGGCCTGAGAGGGAGCCAGCCAGAGTGTAGCGCTGAAGGCCCCTGTGTTGCTGCAGGTGGAAACGGGGGGTTTTGGAGTGTGCCATTTAAAGACAACAATGACAGCTTCACCCGTGGCTGTAATGTTAAGCCCCCACCTGCCTAAATTGGAGGCTTAAAATGATAAGAGACCGATTATTGGTGCCAGTGTTGCTTTACACTGTTGCTTTACATCCCCCTTTTTTCTTCTTGTGTGGAGCCCCATGGCAGCCTCCACAATCCTCCTCTGCTGCCTTTTTTCATCACAACAACGACCCTGTGAGGTAGGCTAGGCTGTGAGTGAGCGACTCTCCCAAAGTGAGCAGTGAGCTTCATGGCTGAGTGGGGACTAGGATCCCGGTCCCACACAAGCTCCCCATACTTCTGTACTGCTTAAAATGTAAACAAAACACATTAAATTGTATACCTAATGTTTATACCCCAATAGATAAAAATACATCCTTAAAAAACTTTATAGCCAGAACGACAGTGAAACAAGATGGATTCCACACAGTTTAGGGGAAGGCTGTGTGAATAACCATCTTTTCAGGAGACGACTGAAACTTTGCGTTGCTTCCGTCTCTTGAACCACACATGGGAGCCACCGAACCCTCCCAGGAAGGCCTGCTCCCACAGGAGCAAGATCTCGGGGGCCTGCTGAGCGTCCATGGGGAGTCATTTAGACCCCTGTGGGTGGGACTCGCTTGCCAGTTGGGAGCCTGCAGTTTGCCGAACACACGTGAGGTCTGTGGATGGCCAGGCGCTTCTGGCAGCCACGTCGTGTACTGGCTGCAGCTGCCCGGGCAGGTGTTTGGGCAGCCCCGTGTGCAGGGTGCTTAGTTCGGGTAGATGCCGAGCCATGCATGGGACGCCCCACCGCCTCCACCGAGAGCTCAACGCCGCCTCTTTTGCATCCTCGCAGCCGACCCCGATTGGCACAATCCAGAGCGACGTACAAGTCCAGCCTCCGAACCGGGAGAAACCACAGCAGTATGTTAAACATCAAGTACGTGCCACTTTTTTTTTGGGTGGGGGGGGTGGTGGAGATGAGGCAGGTCTGGGGAGCAAAGGGGCAGCGCAGGTGCCGGGTCGGAGCTGCAGGCTTAAGCGGGAGGCAGGAGTGGGGGTGTGGCGCCACCTGGTGGAAAGGACCTGGCGTCTCTTTCCAATGGGGGAGCATGAATGCAGATGCGAGCTCTCCTGGTGCTGAGTTGGGTCAGTTGCCCAACAAACTTGGCATTCTCTGCACTGGCCGGCAGCCGCTTTCCAGGGGGGGGGGGCAAAGCCCCCCCCACCACCACCCAGGACCCTTCAAGTGCAAAGAGCTGCAGATTCAATCGGGGACTTTTTGCGCGGAAAGCGGGAGCTCAGCTTCTCTCGGCCCAAGTTCCCTGCGGTGGGCGTGCCTCTGATGCCAGTCCTGTCTCTTGTCAGTAGCTCGTTCTTCTTGCCTCGTTGCAGCGGGTCAACTTGGAGCATCCCCGTCAAGGCATCTTTTTGGGGTGGGGAGGGACCATGTGAGAATTCGGGCCCGGGACCTTTGGAGGTTGCGTGCTTGGTGGGAAATCAGCCAGCCCAGAGGGCAGAGATGTGGACCAGTGTACGTGTGGACTCAGAAACGTGTAGAAATGTGGCAGGGAACAGAGCCAGTGCTCCAGCGTGGATCCGTTCCACGACTCTTTCCGACAGTGCCCGTTGCATTCTAGAGATGCTGTATGGATCCATATTCTGCCGTTTTATATTGTTTTTTTGCTTTTGCATGTCTTTCTTCTTGTCCTCCTCCTCCTCCTCCCCCCCCTCCCCCCTGACCTCTTGGCCTGTCATTTCCTTGGCCCCGGAACTCCCGCCCCCTCCGCCCCTCCTCCTCGTGGTTTCTCGTGTGTTTTCTCCCTCCCCTCTCCCTGCCTCCGTCCTTAGCAGTCTCCCGAGGGGACGGAGTTTTGGGACCCCCAGTCTGGCCAGCGGCCTGCTGAGGAGCCTCTGGGGACCCACCTGGCAACCAGCAGGCTTGGGGGTTCCGTGCAGGTACATCGGAGGGATGAGGGGCGGGAGGCGAGGGCGGGGGGCCACCAGCTTCTGCGCATGCCCCGGCAGCCCTTGTGGCTGTGCTCCCGCACTTCCCCCGTCCGAAGGGCTCCCTGCTGCATTCACCCCAACTCTTCGGCCTGGTTCCAAGATGCCTGCCATAACAGTTTGGGCATCTTTAAATTCTCTCCCTCCTCCTCTGCCAGTGCCGATGTGAATCCCCTCTTGTCTCCCGAAGATGCGGGTACCGAAGGCCAGCTTGTGTGGCCAAAAACTTGCACAAACAAGGATGCCCTGTGTGGGTTGCCTTCCACAGGTGTGGCCATGATGTGGAGTTCCTTGGTGGTCACCCTGCACCATTTTATTTTAAAAGGCCTTATTTCCTAAGACCTTTTCTTTAATGTGGGCTGAAATAAAAGCGTGGAGCTTTTTTTAACAGAAATATTCCATCTCCCTCAGGATTTGCAGGGGGTGGTTGTTTTCTGAGGACTGGATTCTTGGCTAAGGCTGAATTCCAGCTCCTGGCTTCTGTCTGCCCCCATGGCATCTGGGGAGAAGGGAGCCCACTGCACTCCCCACCTCTTGGGCACAGATCCACTCCAGGGTCCCTGCATATGTGTACCTGTCTCCGTGGGTGACCCTGAAATATATGGGTAGTTGCCCACTCCATCAAGAGCAGAGCTGTGGTTGAACTGTAGCTGGAGGAAAAGAGCCCTCTTCGCCCTAAAGCTTAGGGGTCATTCTTGCATGCCGGCCTCCTCTGCCCCCGTTGTTGCTCTAGCCTTGCATGTGAAAGTCCGTCTCTGTGTTATTTCACGCCCGCCAGAGAAACCTAAGTTCTGCACCTGGGCAGTTCCGATCTTGCACCAAGGAAAGGCAAAATTTGTGTGCTTTCTGTTTGGCTTTGTTCTGGTTTTGTGAATGGTGAGGACAGACACTGGATTGTGTCAAGGAGACTGCAGCTTGCCCCACTTGGAAATCTTTTCTTTCTTTGCTTTTGAGATGAAAGCAGAAATGCTTGCAGTATCTGGATTCCTGGGGACTTCTACTAAATCTCTCCCTAGACAGGGACTGGGAAGGAGAATTGGAATGCTGCAGCCTGAAAATCTAAACTGAGCTAACTGAACTCCATCTGTGTTTTAAATTGCATTTGCCCATGAATATTGGGTGGGGGAGAGTGTTTGCTGCAAAGTCTGGGGTAATCTTCCATTGTACTGATCAAAACCAAAGAGTTTTAAAAGTTTGGACCTGTAAAGAGCAGTTGAACGGTGGCAAGGAACACTAATTGCATACCAAGCACAGGAACCCTTGTCCATCTTGGAAGGTGCTGGCCAGCTTCTTTCTTGTTCATAAACTTGCATCCCACGCCCTACTGACCTCCTGAGAACTAGAAACTTGAACATTGGTTTGTATCTATTTAATTGATGTATATGCAATAAACATTTGCAGCATGCTATACTCGGGGAAATGTACATCAGCCCCAAAAATTAACATAGTAAGCAACTCAGAGTGACCCTAACAGACAAAATTAGCAGCAAAATTTCATCCCATGTTAAATGTAAAGGCTCACCTCTTACAGGTTATGTTTGGACAGATTCCACATTGTCCTGGAGCAGCAGAAAAATCAATTTGGGTAATTTCAGCTGCTCTGGTTTTCTCGTTCTCAGGACCAAATATCTTCATTGTAGAGCCCACACCCATCTTGAAAGACCTTCTCCATTTTTCTAGTATGGCCACTATCCCACCCTTGTGGGGGGCAGGGAAAGAGAGGTATATTTCTTCAAGAAGGTGGGGTGCTCGTTTGGGAAGCGGATTCCCATTTTTCAAACCAGAATTTGTAGGGAAGGAATGTCACCGGCGATAAGGCAAAGTTTTCAAAATTCTGTGGGACTTTTGCACACAAGACATCAGCCACGTGGAGCTGGTGAAGCAGACTTGTGTTCATGAAAGCTTATGCTGACCGAATACATCAGCTAGCCTTTAAAGATGCTTTGGGGCTCCTTAATTTTGCCCCGAAGAAGCAACCCTGCCTTTCTTGGCTTTTTTGTTCTGGTTGCTTCTCATCTCCAGCCAAAGGACGCTCGGCAGCCTTTTGTGAATGTGTTAGAACTCGTTAAATCCCTTTTCCTTTGGGCTGCGGGAATGCCTGAGGAGTGCTTGGCTGGCCTCCTCGGCCAGCCACGTGGTTCCATCAGCAGGTGCTTCCCCCGCAAAGCGACGCTGCGAAGGAGGCTGTGAGCCTGTGAGCAGGTGGCGGGATGCTGGCGTGCCAGGCCTGAACCTCGCCTCCATTTCCACCCCGCAAGGCGTAGGAAAGGTGCGGCGTGGCAGAGGGCCCAGCCCAGAGCTGCTCGGCCGCTCAGCTGCTGGGGTTTCGTTCCTCCTCAGGTCATGAGTTCTACCAACGGAGAACTGAACACAGACGATCCCACCGCCGGCCACTCGAACGCCCCCATCACCGCCCCTGCCGAGGTCGAAGTGGCAGACGACACGAAGTGAGTGTAGCCTTCTTTGAGGCCCTGCTCGAGAGGCTTGTCGGGAGAGTCCCCGTTTACACAGGGCTCCTAAAAAAGCCGGTTGAGTCGGCCCTCCACAACCCTGGCAGACCCCCGTGGCTTCAAACATGATTATCCAAGTGGGGAAAGGAGAGTTGGAACAAGCCGCCACCCTTCCCCAGTCCTCACTGCCAAATGGTTGGTGACATAGGCGGTAAATTAGTGGTGGGAGCTACTTTGCTGGGATGGGGCCCTTCCCTGCACTTCCGGGGCCGGACGACTCGGTGGGCTTGCGCTTGCGTACTCGTTCGGCCCCTGGCTTGAAGCAGCCGCCGCATCGCTTCCACGTTGGCCCTCCAGCCACTTCACAGGGCAGAAGCTTCCCGGTGTGGCTGCTGGTCGGGGAGCCAGAAAGAAGAGACTCTCTCTTTCAATATCCTGTTACAGACGGACGGGGTCTTGGGCATTCTGTTCCTGCTGGAGCTGTGCTTTCATCCATCCTATCAAACAGCGCTTGGTTTTCTGTGAGCTAAAAAGAGGCTTGTGATGATTAATAGCAGCCGTGGGGTCTTCATTGGTGTCCCTTTGTTCCCAGGTGCTGCTGTTTCTTCAAAAGGAGGAAGAGGAAAGCCATGCAGCGTCACAAGTGAAGTGTTCTCTTTGGCTCTGGCTAGGAGCTGGTCAGGACTGTGTTTTTTCCCCCTTTTACTTCCTGGCTGTGGATAATGGATCTTGATCCCTCAACTGGCTGGGGAACTCCCCTGCTCCAGTTCTGCTAGCAGGTCGTGGGGGGGCACAAGTCACTTTGACTCTGCTGACCGGCTTGCCTGTCCCCCCCCACCCCACCCCGGACCGTGCGTCTCGTCTCCCCTTCCTCCCAAGAGACATGAATGGAGGTGGGGCCACTGGCAGGAAAAACAGAAAAGCACGCCAGATGTTCTTGCGGACGGTGCCTGCGGCCTCCTAGAAAGCATTAACTATTTATGCAACAGTCCTTCCTTCCACTCTCTTCCCAGCTCCCTTCACCTCTCTGGTTTTGTTGAATAGTTTTTTTTCTCTTCTGACAAAAACAAAAATGGGAACCAATTACACGTGTTTACCTATAGAAGATGCAAAGCGATGATCCTGAGAAAAGCAGCTGCCAATCCTTCCCCCTCGCCGTACTGTCTGCGTTTCTTAAGTTAATTTAAACATTGCATCGTAGCCCCAGTGCCTAAATGATGGGGCAGATTTCCCCCGTCTCCTTTTTGTAGCGCTGCAAAAATCTTACTTTTATCTTTTCTTTTAAACTGCTCTCCTGTTTGGTTTCTCCAGCAGCCGTCCCTCTCCTCAGTTCTGTTCTCCCAGCCTCGCCAGCGGTGCCATGGCCGGCATCCTGCTGGGGGTGGTGGGGGGCAGAAGGGGGTGCGTGCATGTAAGTGTACAGGGGAGGGGGGGTGGGCTAGCTTGCTTACACTCACCCCCTCCAATTTCATAATGCACTTTTTGTAGCAATACAAGCGACATCTGTGTCTCGAAACGATCAGATTTTAGGTGTGTGTTTGGAAAAAGACAGTAGTAAAGCGAGGACCGGAGGCCTGGAGGAATGTTGTCCATGGGGTCGCGATGGGTCGGACTCGACTTCGCAACTAGCAACAACAGCAAAGCGAAGCCTCGCCACTTGCGGGGGGGGGGGGGGGGGGGGGGGGGGGGCGAGGGCAATTGTGTTGACACCCGGGAGCCGTTTCCAGCCGAGCATAATCCATAATCCGGCTGCCATTGTGACGCAGCAGTGGGAAAGAGGGAACAGGTGGTGTGACTGAACTGGACATGCCACCAAGTCAGACGTCCAGGGGGCTTCTAGGCTCCCGTCCCCCTGCCTCGGCAGGATCCACAGCAATGGCGCTGGGCGATAACAGCCTCAGCGTTCCCCTTGCCCATGCAGCCGTTCCCGGAAACGCTCCTCGGCAGGGTTGGTGTGTGCTTTGTTCACAGGGAGGGAAGCGGAGGTCTTTCAAACACATCGTGTGAGGATAATTCACCTGCTCGCTCTTCCCCTTTTGCCCCGTTGCTCAAAAGCCCCCTTGCTCCCCCGGCTTCCCAGCTGCCGGGAGGGTTGGCGGCTCTGTCTGGGGCAGTCCTGGGCTGTGGCGACCCTCACGGTCCGGAAACAGGTCCGCTGTTGGAACGAAACTAGTGGCCACGCTCCGCCACAACCCGGCCCACGCCCGAGGTCCTTGCCGAGCGCAGCCGTGCTCAGCGCGTGATCCCCTCCTTGCTTTTGCTGGGCGGAGACACGGGTTCCCTCCATCCCTTCGTTCTCTCCTAACGCGGGCAAGCCTTCCTGCCACGGGCGCAGAGGGTGGGGATCCCAGAAGGGAGATGCTGTTCCTCATGGCAGCAAGTGTGCCCTTCACAAGGATCGGGGGTCTTGTACACCTCCATCTTCCCACCAGCCAGGGCCACAGCGGCGTGTGGGTCACCCGTGTGCACCAGCTGCTGCCGGCTTGCCTGGGAGGCAGAGGAGCTGCTGCTTCTTCCAAGTCCGATACTTTTATACAAAGGGGTGGGTGTGGGGGGGGGCACATACTGTTCCAAAGTCGCATGCTTTCTTACACAAACGTCCTAGCACTTGTGAGAGGATTGCTTGGGCATGGGTGGGGAGCACCTGGGGTCTCTGCTAAACAAACCTGTAACCCTTTGGGGTGAATGAAGCATCCCTACAATAGACCAAAAGGGGACGGTGTTAAATGTGGTATCACACACCCCGCTAGAGCTAAACTGTGTCCAGCTGGCTTCTTTCGCCCCTCACACTTGTGGGAAGAGTGCCGCTCCCACCTCCCTGCGTTATCCACCAGGCTTCTGTCTACATCCTGTTCACTTCGTAGAGCTAGGTTTGAACTCAGCCCTGTGACCGTGGGGTTGAACAGCCCTCCCCCCTCGTTACCCCACACTCAGCGAAGCTGGTGCTTACGCCCCATTCGTTGTGCTTTTCAAGAAAGGGTAGAGCCATTCTGCCAAGCCCTCTCAGACAAAATGTTTTCACGGCCCTTCACTCTGACAGTCTGTGTGTGGAAACTTCAAAACAGCAGTGCCTGTGCCATGTTGCAGAGAACTGAAAGGATGTGGGGCGGGAAAGCGTGGCAGGAAAAGTCGTTGATTCTGGTGACATCCACTAAAGTAGGATTGCTTAGATATGTGCAATGTTTGAGCTTACTTCCCAAACAGTGCAAAGGAAAAAGAAAAAAAAAAAAACAGCCTTAAATGTCGTGCTGGAAAAGGTGTAGTTCCAGTCCCAGGAAGGTGTAAAAGAAAATTTTTTTTAAAATTAAAAGTTTATGTCAAGAGTGCATGAGTGTGCTTGGATTACCAGTTGCAATGTGGATTTTTTTTTTAAATGAGAGGAAGAGACAGAAATGATACACCTGCAAGAGCATCACTGGGGTCGGATTATGCCTCCTTTGATCTTAGCAGGTATGTTTTGGCCCATTTTCTGACTTGCATCAAAATGAGTCTTGCAGACTTGCGTGCTTTTGTTATGTTTTTTTTAACTGTGTAACAGCAATGAAAGGTAATTTTGAGTTTGAATAGATACGAGATTTGTACTGGTGTAGATCCAAATCAGAAGAAAGACTTGCATTGCAAGTTCAGGTGTTGCTGTTAAAACCAACAAAAACCTGTACACAGGATGATGGTGTATAAGTTTCTCTGATGCTTCCCTGAAGCCATAGAAGGCAGGGGCTTAAAAAAATCAAAAAAGGAGAAAAACCCCTGAAAACCAAAAAATTAAAAAAAAATCTTTAAAAAGTTCTGCAAGGCTCTCTCTCTGACTTCTGGTTGCAGTCTTGATGGGAGCAGGTGGAGGAGAAAGAGCAGGGCTGGACAAAGTACTGAGGACACAAAGACAATTTTTCCAGACTTTGAGGCTCCTGGGTAGAGACCCGTCCAGTTCAGTGACACATGACCCCTTCAGGAAAAAGTACAAACACAGCTTGCAAGGGATCTTGATGCAACTCCAGAGATAGGTGACCTTTGACGACCGTTCCATGCATGATTTGTGTTGGCCCTTTTCAGCTCCAGGAGCGTACAACAGCTCTTTGAAGAGTATTCATTTTGTGGCTCAAACTGCAAATCCAGCTCAAGCAGGACTGCTTCCCCAAACCCACTTCCGCTCCCCATCTTTGCTTCCTTCAGTGTCTTGGACTCCAGGTTCCATCAACAGCCAGTCAGGGGAATCATTATCCTGTATGTTGTTGTTTAGGAAAAGTACACAGTGGGACAAAGCAAGACAGAACCAGTGTGCTTGTGTGTCATTAGCTGCTATACTGCAAACCACTTTCTCCAACACCATTGCCATACTTAAACGGGGTGATCCTTAACTGAGTAAATACTGAGTTGCACATGCCATTCACACAAGTGGGAGACTGCAGTGCGGTGCAGCTTTCCTCAGCCTTGTGCCTTCCAGTTGCATTTGGACTGCAACACCCAGGATGCCTAGTCTATTGGATGGGAATTCTGGGAGTCGCAGTCTAAGCGCCTCTGAAGGCCCTTTGGTGGAGGCTGCTGTAGAGGAACTGTTGTGACTTAAGTTTTCTGCACAGGCAAACCTCAAATGACTGCATGGCTCCCCAGCCACCCTGACTGAAAAACACCCATTTTCTTAACACCGGAACCGGGGAAAAGCTGTGTGAGATAGCCAGCCACCAGAGCCTGCTCCCCCTCACATCCCCTTTAATTGTGGGCATCTGTGAAATAGTTTCTAAAAACATCTGCAAAACCAGTTCCAATATTCCTAGAACCAAGTCTGTGTGAATCACTGTAATTTGTTCAGCTTGGTGCCAAGCAAACTACCCTGGAGAAAGGACACTGAAAGAACAACTTGTTCAGTGCTAAGCTTCACCAAGGTCTCGGAGTCAGACAGAGTTGGTTCCTTTGGCAAGCCTCTTCTGCGTGCGGAGCCAGCCGCCCTGAGATGGCCACCCGCTTTTCTTGCTGCCGCGTGCCTTGCCCCTTTCTCTGAGCACAAAAGGAACATCAGCAGAAAGACAATCTGGCTGCCTTTATTAATTTATTTACAAATCAAAAAAGCACAGAATGTGATAAAACACTGAATAAAGCATCAGAAACGTTCTTCAACCCTCGAGCCTGGCGTGAGAGCCCTGGAGCTGCCTACCTGTGCCCCGGATCAGAGGTTTCTGATCTACCTGGTCAGAAAGGTGGGGACAGCTGTGGCGGCCTGTGAATCGAAGCACCAGATTTGGCACTTCAACTGGGCTGAGTTCTTTTAAGTTGGTCACAGTTGCCTCGAGCATCACCCCCCCCACCCCCAAGTAAGCACCACTGCCATGATAGAACCAGAATTGATGTGAGATCGCCAAAAGCAGGGCTGTTTCAGGGCGGCTTTTCCCTTGAAGCAAACAACCAAACTTGGAATCTACACTGTGATTCCCATCTCTATACAAGGAAACGGGAAGTTCAGAAAATTTCTCTTATTAAAAGGTGTGGGTGAGGTGGAGGCAGTGAAGGGGGAAATGGAAGGATTCCCTTTGGTCTGGGAAGTGCACAAAACCAACGAGTTGGTATGCCGCTTTTTGATAAGCACTGACGACACGCCAGTGGTCCCCTTGCATAGATGGGGAGCTGGTAACTGAAGAAAATGGACCCGGTTCATACTGGCCTTTCTGAGACACTCCAGCGCATCTACACCCCCCCCCCCCCCCAGGGATGCCCGTTTCCAGCCCATCGGTGCACAGGGGCCAGCTAGCACAAGGATGAAGGCATTCTACACCCGGGATTTCGAGGAGCGACGTATTTTCCACCAGCTGCAAACAAGCAGCAGTACTCGACTGCTAGAAGAAATCCGGCATCTTACAGAACTAGGTGAGGATTCCAGCCAGATTCCACTGCGGGACACAGACACTCCAGGGATGGCAGACATCGCTGGCAGCAGTAGGGACAAGGATGTTCCGGGGCAGGGCTGATGCCCGTGGGGGGTGCTCCTGGTCAGTGTCTGCGGGAAACGGTGTGCGCCAACAGCTGCAAACCTGCGATCGTGTCGTCGCAGATTCAGGTACGAGTTCGAGAGGTTGCGGGGATGGGGAACAGTACCTAGAAAAGCCAGAGCCTGCCTTGGTCTCTCCATGTCAGTCTTGGGATTTGGAAAGCGCCTTTGGGCAAACGACGGCGCTGGCCCAGCCCTCGCAGAAAGAATGCGGGTTTGCAGATAAGCGATTCTACAGTACAGAAGTGATGCAGAAACCTGACAAATAAGCATTAGCAGAAACTGGTTTTGCTACCCGCAACTGGCCGTTGAGGCATTGGGATCCACCCTCTGCCTTCAGTACACGGGAACAGGGATGGGGGAAAGGATACTGGCACATTCACACCTTATCTGGGTCTCACTGCTTCCAGTTGGTTGGATCACAGGTATTTCGCCCAGAAGGAGAGAGCAGTATTCCACTGTAACAGCAAGTTTTGCCCACTTTGGCACGGTGTGCCAGAGAGCGGGGAGGGAGGCGCTCTTGAACGCATGGCAGGTTCCAAGAGGTCATGCAACCTGCTAAGCACAGTTAGCAAAAGGGAAAAGAACATCCGGTTTTGGGGAGAGTCGGCCTTCCCAATGGTGGATGGCCCTGGAGTCACCCGGAACTCCCGGGAGCCCTACCGCAAAGGAGTCGTATGGGCCATCATTTGGGAAGCCATGTAAAAAGGGGCAAATTGATCCAGGGACCAAAGGAGGAGGAGGGGAGTGTCACAGCAAACTCCGTTTGAGAGTTAGATTTCTGCAAAGGCAGCTTAAAGCTTGGTACATCCCGTGTTTAAAAAAGAAAAGCCAATTGCTGCCACGGCTTGCTAGAGGAGGAGGATGCCAGAAAAACAGCCGGAGAGTAAAATGCATTGTTAAGTTGCACTATATTAATAGCAGCAGAAAGCACACCGACAGTCCAGGGACTGCTCTTCGCACAACTGCCGCGTGTGCGGGGCTGCAGGTCACCACGCAGCCACGGCCGTTAGGGGTGCCTGGCAAACCTGCCCATGCGGGAGAAGCAAGGCAGTGGCAGCAGGGCTCTTGCCCTCCCCTTGCCCCCCCCCCCCCGCCCACTCCTGTCTAGGATTGTCTTGAAACACTGCTCAGGGAACTCAACGGAGCTGCCTCTGGGAGGGGAAGCCAGCCTCCCAACCAGGCGTCCTCCAGGGGTACCGGGCTACAATTTCTCTCTCTCCCAGCCAGTTTGGCCACGCAGCTGGAGAACAGGGATGGCAGCAAGCCCGTTAGGAGCGCACCCTGGCACTGCTCGCCCAAGGACCACCAAGGACCCACCATCCCCACAGCAGCGCACGGGGATTCCTTCTAGCGAGCGCAGACTTCTTGCAAGAATGGGCTTCCCCCGCCCCCCTCCAAGAGCAGGCTGTGAGAGCAGCGGCGTGGAATGCAAGGGGTCCTCCGGCCAGCCGGCCTGGCCCACAGAGCCAGTTACCGCCCTCTCTGCAAGCGCCTGTGGGGACACCACCCTGGAGCCCCCGCCCGCCCAAAGTCCTCCGGCCAGTGCCCTTGCACCAGAGCAGCAGAAGGCACGCCACAGAGTTCAGCCTGAAAGGGCGCAGGAACAGAAGTGGCTGCACCCATCTGGTGGCCGGCCCCCGGTGGCACCCGCTAGGTGTAGAAGATGATCTCCGGGATTTGCCCGTCCTCCACGGAGGTGCCGTTGTTGTTGCCCGCTGCGTAACAGAAAGTAAAGCAAGTCTTGGCCCCCGTGGTCGGCGATTCGTGGATCACTTTGCGCAGCCCTTTGGTTCCGTAGTGGGAATCGGGGCCCTGTGGAAAAAGGAGCAGTTGTAGCAAGGGAAGGCATTCCAAGGGCTGGCCCTCAGACGGGGCCCTGGGGGTGCCGGGGCAGTCCAACCCCATCCCTGCCAGCAAGACAGTCCACTGGCCAGAGCTCGTGAGTCTTAAAAGGTGGCCCACGGGGATGGGGGGAGCTCAAAGGTCACTTGTCCCAAACTAGGTGACCGAGCACCTGGCCAGGCACCAGGGCACAGCAAGACTGGAAGAGGGCTCAAGCAATGCCCGCTGCTCAACACTCCCTCCCACCCCTTCCAAAGGGTAGCGAGACCCCCCCACCTCCCCGCTCCCTGCACAGAGCACCTTCAGCGTTGCACAGGCTATGTAGCTGACGGTGGGAAGAATCTCTATGGGCTCCTTAAACATCACCCGGAAGGTGTTGGAGGACCCGTCACAGCTGAATCCCGTGTCGTTCTGACCCAGGATCGTGTTGCTGTCTGTGTGAATGATCTGGAAAGGCCAAGGAAGAGAAAGAGCATGCAACTTTCCACCAAGACAGCTGTCCTAAGCAGGGTTCCCTTGCACAGAACAGCTCTGCTTGGCTATAAACTCCTGACGCACAGGTTTTGCAAAAAGGGCCCCTGGCGAGCCAGCTTCTGGAGTCGCTTCCTCCCTCACCCCATGAAAGCAAGTCAAAGCCTAGAAAGGTTTCTACCTGTATATTTACTTGATAATCTGTCGGGCCATGGATTGAGCCGTACAACCCGAATCCAACGATGAATATCCTCTTGTTGACGGTGAACCTGCAGGGTTTGAGGAAAGGACAGAGCGGTTTTAAAAGGGACAATCGCCCCCACAGGCAAACTGGTAGCAAAAGCTTGCAAGGATAATGTCCACAGCCTTCTGTCCTGGTCGAACAGGCCACAATATTTGCAACAGCCAACACCCCCCAAAGCTTTGCTGGGCTTTGCAGATGGTTGCTGCCTTGAAAAGTTGCAATTCGTTCAGATCCGCGCGCTGTGGCTTGCACACGCGCAAACCAGACTGGCTCGGGGGACCGGACGGCGCCGGGGAGCCCACCTGATGCGGTCGCTGGTCCCGCTGTATCCCCAGCGGCTCTCCACCTGCTGGAAGCGGTTGATGCTGCACTCCTTCCCCCTCAGGCAGCAGCGGGGCCGGTCGATGAACTCCACCCGGGGCTTGGGATTGACGGTGAAGTGGAGGAAGAGGCTGACCACTTCGCGGTCGGTGAGGATGCCCGACTGAGCAGGCCCTGAAGAAGGCAGAAGCCGAGAGCGAAGTACAGCACGGATTTTAGCTTCTTCCTTAGGGTGGGGGTTTTTACCCCGCCCTGCCTTCGGGCAGCTTAAGGTGGTCTGTCCCACCCCACCCTCTGGGCAGTCACACTCGGAGGGAGGGCTAGGCACAGGGAAAGCAGCCGCACAGCGGTCTGCCTGGGCCCTGGGCCCCAAGTCTTCCGGGGCTTCCTCCATCACAAGGCCGCAATACCCTGGTGTAGGAAAAAGTGACTCACAAAGGATGCGTGCCGAAGGAAAAAAACCGAAAAGCGATCCCTCCCATTCTTGGAGGGCCTCCCAGTGCAATCAACCTGCACCTTTTATCGGAAAGGACAGAAGAAAGGTATCCTCTGTGGAGGTCAGATCCAACGGGGTTGATTGGCCTAGGGGATGGGTCCTCAAACGAAGGCCCACAGGCCACATCTGGCCCACCATGCTCATTTAACTGGCCCACCCTACAGGCTTTACACTCACCGGGCATGTGGGCGGTGCGCGGCTTGCTCGCGAGGAGGAAGTTTTGAACTAGCTTGGAGAAAACAATCTCCTCGCAAGCAGGTGCCTCACCCTGAGCGCCCCCCAGTCCCCACCTCGCATGCGCGTGCACCCCACCCCCTCACCGCCCACTCCTCCACTGGCACTGCCTTGGCAGCCCGCGCCCACCGCCGACACCTGTCAACGGCCCCCTTTAGAAAAAGCTTGAGGAAAAGGCTTATCCTGGCCTAAGATATAACCAGCATGCATAAAATGCCAACATTTTAAAGAGGACTACCTAAGCAGGCAAGGACTACCTGGCAAGAGGGAAAAAGGCAGGATAGAAATGCAACAGAATAATAAATGCAAAATGTTTGTATTTTATTAATTACAGCCTGCGTGGAATAGTCGATTTATTTATTTTATTCTGATTTATGTTATAAGCCGTCCAGAGATGCAAGTAATGGACGGCATACAAATTTAATAAATAAACAAACAGCTAGCTAGCGGCAGGGCAGGGCAAGGGATCCCTAGCAGACAGAAGGACGCGTGCCTCTTAGCTCTCACCAAGTACTTGTTATTTCCACCCAAGATGCACGAACCCCGATTCCCCGCAAGAACCGAAGCCGCCTTGGTTACTGCGGGCACGCAGCTGTTTCCGAAGGCGTGCCTGAGCATATTTCAATTTGTTCATACCTGCGCAACCAGTTCTGCAAGCAAATCCAACAGCACACATGTCCCTGAGTGTTTACAGTGGTAAAAAAAGAAACCCTTTGCAACGGGCTGCTGGAGGCCAGGCTGTGCTGGATCTCCTCAGCAAGGTGGCCGAGCTTTACCCCTCAAGATAATTTTTAAAGCAATCACTCAAGTCCACTAGCAAGAATTACCTGTCCCTCTGCCAGCAGATCGACATGCACAGACAGGCATTAAGTGCAGCAGAAAATCAAAGCTCCCACAATCACTTCAGAGGGGCTTGCACAGAGACCTTCCCCATGGATTATTCCCCCTGGTGTAGGTCCCGCCATATCCCATGCTCCCATGCTTCACTCCTGCCCCAAATGCATCGCTCACTCAAGGAGGTCATCTCATGACCAGGCCGACTTCAGCTACTGGTACCTATTCCTGGCTACATACGCTTTGAAATGTGGCACGTTTCACAGCAGAGGTGTGTCTCAGCTACAAAAAGACACCTTTTCCAGCACTGTACTGGAACTTTCACCTGGAGAACGACTCCCAAGGGATAGTTCCAACCCCAGAGAAAATCCAACAATATAGTGGGCAAAAGATTCAGTAAAGAGGTTCCCCATAAGCAAATGGAGAGTTGCTTTTCTGCTCAAAATGCCACTGATGGATATGAATTGAGGGAGAGAAGGTCTCTAATCCCCCCACCCCAATCAACAGGGCCTCTGTACAGACCAGTACCCCAGCCCCAATTGGGTGGGCACGCGAGAGAACCTTCATCATGGCATCTCAACTGTAAAAGGCCCTCAGGAAGCTGGCCTGCTGGAGCCCAGAGAACACAGAGGGTGCTCAAACTTGTTTCTAGTTCTTTCAGTAGTGATCTAATTTGACCAATTTACTTGACTGATCCTTTGTCAACAAAAATCATGTCATGCCAGCATGCAAATATTAGGGAAAACGATCAGTGTGTGGCACCGTCACATGTACGTTTACTCATGTTAAGTCCAGTTGAGTTCAAAGCAGCTCACACAGTACTGTGTTTAGGACAATAAATCTTCCCGTGGCTTAAATGTGTTAAATTCAAACAAATTCAGAGCTTTGAAATGATTTTAACTGGAATATTCACTAAATTCTTAGACAACCGAACAACTTATTTTTAAACGTCACAGAACTTAAAAAGAGTGAAGTACTGAGAACTGCTAACACACGAGTTTTAGCAAGCCCAAACGGCTCAATGCCAGATACAGATATTTCTAGAGAAATAGCCGCCTTTAAGAACTGACTCACAACAGGCACTATCAATTTGACTATGACTGTACTGATCATGCTTCCAATTAATTTATGAAACAATACCCTTGACCTTTTTTTTCCCCCAGGGAAGTGTATAGTAGTGCAAGATTTTCTGCTTCACACCAATGTGTGCTTCCCTCACTGTTTTCCCTCCAGAGCAAGCTACAAAGACATCTCTTTACAAGAGCTATTTCTGGCTGTTATTTGTGGTACAGTGTAAGCCGGAAATATAGTCATGAAGACAAATTGTACTGTTGCCTTAATTACAACTTCTTTTTCATCTTTAAGCTGCCCAGGAGGGGTAGGGAGAAGCAGAACCAAAAGGAGGGGGCAGAAATTAAATAAATTGCATAGATACGATAGTTATATGGTGGTATTGTGATGTGGCATCAAGTTGTCTCTGACTTATTGTGACCCCATGAATGAAAGCTCTCCAAAAAGTCCTGTTCAGGACAGACCTGTTCAGGTTGACTCCAAAAGGGAAGCATCCCATTTGAATTTAGACTTGCTGAGCAGGGCTCATCTGAGGTTTGGTCTTCCTCTTCTTGACTTTCCCCCAGCATGGAGCTCATGGGCACCCAACAAGGTTTCAGCTTTTGTTTTAGATTTTCATGAAATGCATACAGTGCTCTAGTAATTAAACTAAGGCTTCAATTTAACTAAACCACATGCCCAAATATGTAACCATTTGATGTTGGATGCTTTGATGCTTTTGTCCCTTATTCTATCAAAAGTGTCATTAGATCTTCAATGCACTGGAGGCAAGAGTTCTTCCCTCCAATTTTGTGGCATTAGTTTTTTTAGCTGCGGCTGACGCACAGAAAATCAATTTCCCTTCCATTTGCTGATTTCCACCAAGGAGCCCAGTAATTAAAAAACCGTGCATTGCAGTGAATATTCAAGACAATTAAATAATGTTTTTGTGCCGGTTATTACCGAAACATTTATCGGCTACAGTGCACTGCCAGCCATTGGAAGAGTTAGGCAATCTCTCTAAAAGATAAGGTTGCTGGGACCACCAGACAGGCAACACAACGCAGCGTAAGAATCACAGAATGCCAAAGGCCTGGCATTTTGTTCAGATGCTGCGGGGGCTTCGCCAATCCCCAAAGTGCTTCAAAATGGTTGGGGACCTTGCTGTTTGTTCAGACTTAGCGCCTGGTTCTCAATAGCAGGGCTTTCCGTTACCTGCGGCAAACTCCTCGATCGTCATCAAGGGGAAGCGGATGAGCGACAGAGCTTTGCCCAGGGCTTTCCGCTTGTTCTCTGGCACCATCTGCAGCTGCTGCCGCTGGCACTCGGCCTCCGACCACCGGACCACCGCGTTGAAGAGGCGCACCTCGCGGATGCCGAGGGTATCGCGCTCCAGCACGGCCACCAGTGTGTCTGCCAAGCAAAGACGGCCGCATTCAGGAAAGAAAGGGACGGCCAAGACGAGCAGTCTTCTGCAATATTCTAGAAGCATCTTTTGCACTTCGGGTTGAAGAAGTCCTGCGTCCTGCCTTTAGGGAGGATTATGGGGCCAAGTCTACTGGGCCTCAAGGACTGATCCCTTCTTGGAAAATATTTCCGGTTTTGCCACTTATGGGGAGAAGCAACAGGCTGAGTTGAGATACCCTGTTTTTAACAGCGCCGTGGTTCATGTTGCTAGCCCTTATGGCCACAACATAATCCATTTGTCATGGAAGCCAAAACAGGGAGCATTCTGTAATTCTGTAACTCTCTCTCTCTCTCACACACACACCCACACACAGACACGCATACACACAATTATCTGCAAAAGATGCAGGCAGAAACGGAAAGGCTCTGGCAGGACTCCCACTGAATCTGTGAGCAGAAAGCTTACCCAGGTCAATATCCGTGAAGCCTTCTGCGTTGATGGCGTCGGACGTATTCTTATCTATGTTTTCCAGGCAAAGGCTTGCCAGCTGGGGCTCATCAAAGAGTCTTGCCTGGGAAAGGAGACCCACCAGCGAGGAAAATTAGTGGGAGGGGAGAATTCTGGAGGGGATTCTTCACATCTGCACTGCTGCTCTGCCTTTTACAAGCAGAAGCATGGCCAGATGTGCAGGACCATGGGAATGCCCTATCGACTTTAAGTCACACAAGGTTTCCTTCCCCTTTGTTTTGCATCCTCCAGATGTTTTGGACACGACTGCAGCAGGCCCGGGCAGAGTGATGAAGAACGCCTGTAGTTCTGGAGGGCGCCAGGTCAGCGAAGGCTGACATAGGCTTCCAGAGACGTCATACAGCGAAGGTTAGCCCTTGAATGTACCTGCGTTAAGAGCATGAAGGCATTATCTGCTCGCAGGTTCTTCTTCAGGAACTCCACGCAATGAGCTTCGAGGGCAGGTACGGCGTACTTCTTTGCAGTATAAAGAGTCGTCATCACAGTCTCTGGCCCGATTTGAACTTCATCTGAATAAAGAAACCTAAAAACAAGAATGCAGAAGTGGCCGGTGGGAGAGAGAGAGAAGTGCTGATGCAATCAAAACAGTAGCTTTAACTTGGAAAGAGGCTACAGGGCCTTGGAACATGTCAAATGCTTCATCTGAACCAGGACCTCTATAGGCTCTGATCATCTGGGCCTTCTCAGCCATCATGAGGACTAGTAATCCAGTTTTTAAAATATAAAATTGAACTCTATGCACAGCATATTATGCTGGGATGCTTATTTATTATTTCCTGCCTTCTATTCTATTTCCTGCCTTCATCCTGTCTTTCCTTCAAGGAGCAAAAGGCAATGTCCAAAATTCCATCCTGCTTCCAGTTTATCCTAATAATGATTTTGTCAGGTAGGTTGGGCTGAAAGGCACTGGCTGGTCCAAAGGCATCAGATCACCTCTGTAGTGGAACAGGAATCTGAAGCTGGCTTTCCTCAGCTCTGGTCCAAATCTAACCCCAGTGGCTCCCACAGAAACCTGGCCATCAGCACCATGAAGTTCTTTTAAAAGCAAGGTGTCTACTGGAATCATTTTAACTTTTTATTGATTTGTTCTTTTTTTAAAAGTATTGTTTACTGCCTTTCTGGGCAGGGGAAAGGCCCCCCCACCCCCACAGACACATACTGGGTGGAGTCACATATAAAAGGATTGCGAAATACAGTGGCAGAAATTAATCAACCCCGATTTTACACCTTGTAGATGGGGGAAAAATGGGCTGGAATCAGATTTCAGCTGGATAAATTTGTGTGGTAGAATTGGGCTTCCTGCCACCTCCCTGCCATAGTAGGCATGCCACTCTGCTGCGATGTGTGGGGGAAGGGAGGGTCCCCAGAACCTGGAGAGCTGGTCCTCCCTGATGCAGAACCCTGGGATTTGTAGAGGCAAGGTCCTGGATGAAACGCAATCGATGCCAGTTGGCCAGGGACCAGGTCTGATCCATTTTGGAATGTGGCACCCTAGCCTCCCTTCAATTTTAAATGTAACCTTCCTTTGCTCAACAGACTGCAGAGAGGGGAAAGGTGAAAATTTGGGCAAGGAGAAGCAGTAGAAAAGTGAGAGATGAAGACACAGACAAGGAATTACACAAAGCTCTGAAGAGGAAGAACTTGGTGCCTGAGAAACGCAAGGGTTTGTCACTTAATCATGAGGGTTAAAAAAAACCCTAGTTAACAGATGCAACTCTCCACTCCTAACTGGTCGCAATTCATTTGAGCGCAGCGTTTCTTCAACGTAAATGGGGATTACTTACTTCAGTAAAGCTAGGAAGGCAGCCGGTTCCACATCTGGTAACTCAATCTCCGTGGATGTCGTGGCCATTCCACCGTTGAACATAGCATCAAAGACCGCGCTGCCCACTGCCAGCACAAACCTGGCATTTGCAAAAAGGCAAAACAAAAGAAGGCCTGTACCTATTGGACTGCACTGAATCCTTCATCCACTTTTCATTCTACTCCTCCCACCCACCAAACTAAAAGAAAGGTGCTCAAGCCACGGCACAAAACCTCCTCCTTCCTCCTCCATTTCTCACACAGCGAATAACAAAGGATTCTTTCGAACCTGCACTTATAAGTACCCTGTCCATAAAATGTGGTTTAGAATTATACGTAGACATTATACAGACAGAAATATAGTGAAATATATTTAATGTGGTATACACTGAATGAGTAAGCTTAACCATATTAAATGAAATATTGAAACTGAATGGTCCTTTGTCAAAAGATGTTTTAAAAGGTAAAAGAAAAAAGGAACAAAAATATGGCTTTTCAAGTTAGCCATTAGAAGTACAACAGAATGAGCCATTATTGCTCACATTGTGCAAATTATTAATATTTTCATCGCCGGAGACTTGCCATGTTGCTGACAGGCTTTAATTCTGGGAAGTTCCAGACACTTAACTCTTCAAGGAATTGATTCTGCTTAGTGCCCTAATAGAGGTCAAGTGAGCGCATGAGACAAAAGTCTTTTATTTCAGAGTTGCCCCTCTCACTCTAAACATACAGCAGTTCCATAATGCAAGAGGCTTAATAGCTAAGTGCACAGCAGAGGTTTCTGGATTTCATTTTTGGGTAGTACAAAGGCTGCCTTTAGTAGTAGCAAACAGATGCATTTTAATTGTTACAGCAACCAGTTTGCATGTGTGCATGTTCAGGAAATACATTATGTTGGATGCTTGCTGAATTAATCCACGCTGCTGGAAGACATCTGTTTGCAAATGTTCCCTAGCCTCAAAGCTACACCTGCAGCATCCCTGCTCAGATCAAATGACGCAGTCAGAAACTCAAAATGTAGCCAAGGAAACAAAGAGCTTGGCAACTCACACAAGCAGGCACTGTGCGGGCTGCCGCGGCCCTCCCTACCTGCAAAGCCAGCGCCTCATTCAGAGGCTTCCTAGTTCTCCTACCCCTAAACAGGGCTGGCCAGGCCAAAAGCACCTGCAGTTAGTTGGGGCCATGCTTTCACTTCATCATAGGCTGCATGATAGCCAGCCAAGAACTGCAGAGCTGTCTCACTAGCACACCCTTCCAGCTGACAACTCTGCCCACAAGGCAAAGCAAAGCATCTCAAACGAGGTTTTTCCACAAGTGCTTTTTTACGTCAGTCCAATTCTGCAAAGTAGAGAAGACAGCACTTGCCCAATCCTCACCCTACCTGCCCCCACACCAGATAAGGTATCTACATCTGAAGAGAACATATTGCCCGGGCCATCCAACCACCCCCAGCTATGTACCGTTGCCACAGCAGCAATGGATCACACAATGCACAGTGCGTAAGTCAAAATGCCCATCTCTGCCCCAGCACTTCTTCCTGGCCTCGCCCCTCCATCCCTATAGCTCCCTGTCTTCTCCAACGCACCTCAGCAACAGCCATCCGATAGCTCTCCATCCCAAACTGGCTCTGTCATAGTCGCTGCCAAGCCCTTCCTCCCGCAGCTCGCCCAGCCCCACCAAAAGCCACCCCACCCATCCCTTCCATCCCCCCTTAATGCTTAGGCCCGCAGCCCACATGGCCCCACCGCATCCTTCCCCTCCGCTACAGGTCTCCCCTAGCTGATGACCACCCCATCACCCCAGTTCTCTGCGATGTCTTTCTCCCAGCCCCACAGTGCTATCGAGCAGCCCCTCCCCACCACCACAAAGGGCCACCACCCAATCTGTCCCGTTGCCACCCCCCTCTGGCCGGGGAGTCAGCGGGGAGCCAGGGGGCAGCCCACCCTACTCCCCCTCCATTTGTGCAACGAGGGCCCCCTCATTGCACAAACCTCCCAGTACAAGTAGCCCCCCAGAACCAGAAGGGCCTGCTGGCCGTGCACACCTGCAGCCCCCGCCCAGTCCACCTGCGCTCGCCGACAAGCCCCTCGCGGCAGGAGCCCCCCCGAGGCCACGAGCCCCCCGGCGCCCACCTGTGCGCGGGGATTCGCTGGGCGCCGGCGCGGCCTTTGCCCACCAGGAAGTGCACGTCGCTCAGCACCTCGTTGTTGAAGAGGAAGGCGAAGCGCTCCT